TGAATCAATCTGACTGGATGATCTGGTGAACTGGAAAGTGACCTGAGATGACATGATGTGAATTGGAGCTATAGAAATAAACTGAATAGAATTAATTTCATTGATTCTCCACGGCACTCACCAACACACCTGCTTTTTTTTATTCTCCTCCCTGTGGTTGTCATAGTAACCATGAAACATAATTGATCATTTAAATACGCAGCGCTTTGCATGGACCATGTCAGCATGGTTTTAGAAATCAGCGATGTTTTCAGACGCCATTTTCAGATGTTTAGCTTAAGTTCACGGTTAGCATGACTCCTAGGAAATGTTTTAGAAATGAGACTTCTGATATTTATTTGATTGGTTTCAGCGTATTCTCCATGTTTTGGGCTTTTAATGCACAGCTGTAGGTGACCCACTACATCACTAACTGCACATTGATTTCTCTTTTTACGGTTTACATTATTTGTCTGGTGGGAAGCCATGTTTTTAGCAGCTGCCCCCAAATTACACGTCAGACCTTTTAATTTCTGTCTTCATCGCCATCTTTGCCTCCTTCCTTCCTGCATTATTCATGCAAACAGCCACAGTGGTTCTCGTCCTTCTCTCTGCCTGCAACTCGCTGGCCGGCGTCCATGACCAACAATCAGCACACAAACACGCGACCACTTAGAGCGCCTCCATAACCTGATACTATCAGGCACAATGACTCAGGAGATCATCTGATGGGGGCCGCACTGCGACCTGCTCGCTCACACTGACTGTAGTCTGCAATATTTATGGCCCATGCTGGCCTGTTCCTTTAACTGAGCAGATTGAATGAATGAATTTATCCTGAGGAGTCTGAGGGAAAGCTCTCAGCAGCGCCGCTCAGAGGGGCGGTGGGCGTCGGGCTCCTACCGTCTTGGGGCAGTGGACGTATCGGGCCAGGCTGATGATCAGGTCATGGGTGATGGGATCAACCAGGTTCCGGAAGCTGGCGTAGCGATAGAGCACGTCGTCCAGAGAGGTCGACTCCATGCCCAGGTCCTGCAAACAGAAAACCAGGGGGGGGATTTACCATAAGGCAATACTAGGCAGGTGCTGAGGGCCCCCATAAAACAGGGGGTGGGGTGGTTCCCCTGGGGGGGGGGGAGCTCTATCTCTCCGCCTGACGACGTTAAATAAATCTGAACTTTTTTTAGGGATGCACGATATAATGGGCCCCCTATCGGTATCGGCCTTAAAACTGAATATCGGACATCGGCCACCCCACCGATATTTAACCCGATATTTGATCAGCTTCTGAGTTTCTAAAATCTAAAAAAAAAAAAAAAAAAAATACTACTTCTTCTTCTTTAAAA